CACCGATTGCTCCTGTGGGAAGTGTGTTATTACAGCTCGGTGCAACTGGAGAATGGTAACAGCCAGCATAGGCTTTTAGGATTAAGATTGGAGCAACATTAGAGAGTAATACCAGGACATGAGAGGATGGGCTGGAAAACAAGAATGGACACCTGCTCGCTCCGACGCTGTGCAACAAAACAGCCTAGCGAGAACTTTAAAGAAGCCCTGGCTTGAGCTTTGTTTGTTCTACAGTCCAAACAGGCTTGGAATATGTTTCAATAGATCAGTATAACAGCCTATATTTGTAAAAGTACTCAGTAGGTTAAGGCCTGTGTTTAATCCTACATTCTGAACCTGTGAATCTCTACATGGTCTCCATGGTCTGCTGAGCGTTTGGTGGCCTAGAATACCTACTATTCTCTAGCATTTGATTCACATCATTTTTTTTAAACAGACACATACTGTGTCAGCACATAACAAACACCTTAGCAAAAACCCCCATTTAAATTCACATCTTTTGGCACTTACTAGCAGCCTGTTGCAAAAACATATAATTTGTTCCCATTTCTTCAGTTACAATCTTTGGAATCTATGAAAAATGCCAAAGATAACAGCATGGCAGGCTTTAAATTGGATTTTTGCACCCAAAATACCATTAACCGTTCTTACTAGCTATTACCTGAAAACCATATGGGCATGGTGTGCAGCCTCCATCCATTTGCTTCCGCTTATCCTTTATCAGGGTTGTGAGGGGGCTGGAGCCTATCCCAGCTGTCTTAGGGTGAGAGGCAGGGTACACCCTGGACAGGTTGCCAGTCTGTCGCAGGGCTAACACATAGACACAGACACCCATTCACTCTCACATTCACGCCTATGGATAATTTAGAGTTTCCAATTAACCTTTCCCCAATAACTGCATGTCTTTGGACTGTGGGAGGAAGCCAGAGTACATGGGGAAAACATGCAAACTCCACACAGACAGGGTCTGTCTGTGTGGAGTCCTGAGTCCAATTCCACCATCAGGCCTGATGGTGGAATTGGACTCAGGACTGTGAGGCAACAGTGCTAACCACCGTGCTGCCGTGTGCAGCCTGTCCTTAAAAGGAGAACTGAGGAAACTAAACAAGTGGAGGACAAAGAAGAAGTGGCAGGCCTAAACATGATCTACAGCAGATGAACAGTATCTGAAAGTTATGCCCTTTAGAAAAAGTAAAGAAAATGCAGCAAAGACGGAAGCAAAGAGAGATCTTCATCAGAAATGGTCTCAGTGAAAGGCTGGCTGAGACAAAAGGTATGATGATATCATCTGGAGGTTAGGATTGTCTGCAGTCATGTACAGTAAACGCACTCCAGCTATAGTTTCGTGTGCTGTGCAGCTGGAAAATTTCAAGGAGACGCGATGCCATCATGTGTCATCTGACTATTAACAGTTATTCATGTGAGGTCGACAGGCCTCTTGATATCTCACATCACACACACCCAACCCTCATTCCTCTGCCTTCAACACGCTTCCCTGTTTTACGAGCCAGGAGCTCCTTTGCTCCACGGCATCCACTATAAAATGCGGTGCCATGTAAGAATGTTAACAGCATGGTGTTGGCAAGAAAAAGCAGACTCAGCCACTGAGATGTGAAGGAGGCTGTAAGATCAAGTGTACAATATATTTGTCAAGATTGTGCCAGGTGCTTCTGTTAAACTTCTTCCTCAAAAGCTGAGCTCATCTAAATGTAAAATCCTCATACAGAGAGGGCTTTAAATTGCAATCTGTTTTTAAAAAATGGGACTTTCAGCCAACCTCTGTTCTAACGACTTTATTTTAATCCTTAAGAATGTGCTGCAGGCAGGTTTAGCAGTCTGTGATCCCTGTAGCAGCTGTCGTTCCCTCTCTTCCCTCACTCTGTTCGGCCTTGTGTGACGTTCGGCTCATCTTTTAGGGGCGCCTTCTCTCTTTTATAGCTTTCCCAGCGTGCACGAGACATCGAGGAACAGAGAGAGAGAGTTTAATCTGAGGCTGGTGACTGAAAGATGCAAGTCCTGCAGCAGAGCAGGTGAAAACCTGACAGACCATGAGCCAAGACCCTGCGGGGGGATTTCCATGTTTAGACCCTGCTGACTGCTGATTCCAGCCTCCTGAGAGACTAAGCAGACCCCCACCACAACCCCTTCTACCTCCACCACCTCCACCTCTCAGCTGCTTAACTAGATTCAAGGGCAGCAACTGTAATCAGGGCTACTTGCTTTTTTCCTGCGCCTAACTCTCTCTTCACTTTATGCCAAAAAATCTAAAATTTTAAGGTACTGGCGACATCTGCTGAATCGCACCATGCAGAGGAGCCCCTGCCTGCCTCATACAGAGGCTGAACAGCATCGTGTGTGAGTATAAAACCTTCTGCATTAGTATCATCATTATTATTTCGTTTCTTCTTTCATGTTTTTATGTAGCCTTGCATTCTTGCGTGACCTCAAGAAAATGCAACTCAGCTCCTAAACTCTTTTTTTTGGACATTATCGATAATTATTTAAAATTTGCCCCTAAAATCTTTCACATTTATTCGCGTCTAGCTCTTAAACTCTACTGTATATGTCCCTCTGCTGAAAACAGACCTGTGATCAGTATTTCTAGACATGACGTGACTCCGACTCCTCGGGCCATCTGTGTATTGGGAGCAGCTGGCGTGCAGAGTTATCAGGTTGCGCGGAGATGCGTCTAAATGATTTACAGCCTAGTTAGAAATAGTGCAACTTCCGGTGCTGCTTGTCCACTGTCAGCTGGGCAGTGGGGCAAACGTCCACGGCACGCTGAGTCTGTGGGAATCTCCAAAAGTAGTTCAGCTCTCAGAAACTGACACATATGAATACACTGTTTGAATTTCTGGGTTTGTGTGTGTTTGCAGGAGTGAGGGTGGCGTGTCTAACAGTTTCAAAGCCCTTGGATGCCAGGAGCAGCTGGATCCCAAGGACAGTCAGGTCTCCGAGGACCCCCGAGAATACTGTTATGGTAACTCATACATGTATCCTAACTTTTATCCTGAGCCTCTCGAAGCCCTCAAAGCAGCTTGTACCAGGATGTAATTAAAGATTCTTTCAACATGCTGACTCTGTTATTCAGAGCTCGCTCCAGCTGGAAATGATGCAGTGTTTATGAGAATGGGCCTCTGTTGCAAGCTAAGTTCCTGTTGGCAGCATCATTTTGAGACACTGAGCGTTGCTGCTACAGTTTACAAATAGTTTTCGGATTTTTGCCAGAAGAGTTGTCCAAGTACGACGAGAGGAGCGCTTGGGCGGTGGATTGGACAGCTTTAAAAAGGAAACAGTTACCAGATTCTGGTTTGTTCTAAAGATGGTGGAAACAAGATTGGATGAGTCTGTGAATATGAAATGCAAAACTGCACACTGAGCTGTTTGAAAGAAATCTTAACATGTCTAAAACTGGACAGAGTAAAGTCTACTTTTAGGTTTGTCAGATTCACTACATATATTACCCGCTCGTATATTAAACACACGCCTGATATCATGTACTCTCCATTGTGCCACCATTGAACATGGAGTCATGCACTCTGAGACATCTCAAGATCCCCTAAGGATATCAGACACAAGGACATTATCATCAAATCCTTTCATCTTTTAAGTTGTAACCCCTGAGTAATCTGTCATCTCTATCAAACCCTTCATCCACATTATATAAAAGAAACAGCAACTTCAGTAGTCCAGTTCACTTCAGTAGTTGCCCTTTTACAGATACTTTTGACCAAGTCACCAATCCGTCACAATTTGTGCTTTTGCTAAAGTAGCCGAGGACTTCTTGCACATTTCTCTTCACTCCATTGCTCATTCATGACTGTATATAAAAGATATATGCATATAAAAGATGGCTATAGTCCCTGAGAACTAACCCTTTGATTATGGTCTCTTCAGTTTGATGTCTCAATGTTAGCATTTTTGCTAACATTGTTAGCTAGCTACACTAAGCTTCATTCATAAACCACATGGGTGCAATATACAGGCACAAATAAATGTGAATTAGTGCTAAGAAACAGACTAATAAAAGACTAAAGTCTAACTGACTGCAGCTCATGCAGTGTAGGTAAGACCTGGTAGGCCACAAGAACCATTTTTAAATGTAAACCTACATTTTAATGTTGTCCAGTTTAATATTTTAACATGAAGGTTTGCTATGATTGACTTGCTTCTGGGTCAGCCTCAAGTGAACATTGGAGTGTGTTTAGCAGTGGCTTTGATTTTCAGACCAGGAAGTTGCCGGTACTGTATTTGCCAATATTCACTGCATCTTTATAAGGTCACAGCTATAATTACCTCCACCAAGGAAGTTTTGTTTTTGGTAGAACATGCACGAAAATGCTATCTGCAAACACAACAACTCAAAAGATTTGTAGGGGTGTATAGTGGGGTCATGTTAACAATCCATTAAAATTTGCCTTTTATCCACCAAGCTGATGCAAAGTGAATATATACAACAACAACAACAAAAAAACACTATTGCTTTAAAACTGCCAGGAGAGAGAGCTGCCTTGGTGGAGGTTTGTGCTCTTGGAGTGCTTCTTGTAGATTTAATGTTTCAGGCTCCATTTACTGAAATGCAGCAGTTTGAAAAGGAGATTTTGACTTTGGGTCAACTTCTTACAGATCAAGAAGAAGGCAGGTGCCAATATAACCCCTTTCCCCCATAAAGACAACATTTGACAACCTCCACTGTACCCCTATTGACAAATTCTGACACAATAAAGTTCTGGTTTGACAGACATTAGAATAGTTTCTGGGCTTTTCCAAGGGTAGCTACATAGGTAGAGACCACTCTTGTTAACTTCTGATGTAAACGCAGTCATTTTATTCTATTAGCAGCCTGAATTATGACAGAAACTGCTTAGCTCAGAAAACAGCTTTGAGGGACTCCTGTTTGGCTTTTGAGGGGTAAAAAGTCAAAGATGATCATAAGAATTCATGCATATTTTTTCTTGTGCTTTGCTTGTGTAAATCCAAAGAGTGGCTTCTCATAAGCCTCATAGCTGCACTAAGCCTGTGTGCCTCTCTCATGCATTGCTTTAATGCGCAGTATCTGGTTGCCAATTTGCTGGTCTGACCTTGGTCCTTGCTTCTTACCTGCCAGCTGTGCAAGTCTTTGTGTGTACCTCATATATCCTCTGCTGCGTATGTGATACCACCGGTGCCTGACACGGTAATAAATCACAGGCTGGTGTATCTCATGCTTAAATTTAATAGACGCAGAAATTCAGTTTCAAGACTCCTGACAATGTCCAACAATTGTGTGTCATGCTTGCTGAAAGAGAAGCGATACAGACGTATGCCTCGCCATTTTTCTCTGTCCTACTAGCAGATCTGAATGTATTACTCACTAACAGACATGTTATAGCCTATAGGAAGTTGTAACGCCAGAAATAGCTTTAGCGGCTATATTTTTAGTTGTCTTTCAAAGCTCTCTAAACAGCAGATGGAAAATCCTTAGCGAATGATAACAAGGTTTCAGATGTCAGGTGCCTAATCACTGAAACTTAGAATAAATTCAACCATATAAGCAGTTCAACTAGAAATGGGACTTTGTTCATTCATGTCATTCTGCTTTTATCCCCCCCCCCCCAGGTGGGTACCACCCCATCCAGATAGGGGACACCTTCAACAGAAGATACCAGGTGGTGTCCAAACTCGGCTGGGGTTATTTCTCCACTGTATGGCTCTGCCAGGACCTCAAGTAGGTTCATTTTGAGACTGTGTGATATGATCAGGGTGGAAGCGGTGGAGAAATTTGATCTTATTAGGCATCATATAATAATAATAATTAAAAATTGGATCAAACAAATATTTAGTTTGAGTCTTTTACTTTGTCCAGTAACCAGCATGCAGATCTGATCTGGTGTCTGTGTTGGCAGGCTAGGTCGGCGTGTTGCTGTGAAGGTGTTGAAGAGTGGGGCTGGCTTCACCCAGGCTGGAGAGGATGAACTGGCTCTCCTGCGATGTGTTAGTGACCGTCTGCTTGTGAATCTCCTCTCTAAGCGCTTTGTCTGTCAGATATTTTTCTCTGTCATATCTTTGGAGCATCACTCTCTGCCAATCTTTTAGTAAAGGACAAATCATCCCCTCCCTGTTTAAAAAAAAATAAATCTCGTCTTGCTCTTCTTTCTCTGTTCTCATCCTCTCGTCTCCTCTCTTTCAACAGGCCAGTGGTTCTGTGGGCCATCACCCCTTTGGCCAAAAGATCGTTCGACTGCTAGATGAGTTTAAGCAGGTTGGGGTCAATGGGGTACGTATCCTTTTTGGAGATGGGATTTCTTGGGCGCATATTCCAGAATCCTTTGAGCTGTTCCATTACATCATTGAAACAATCAATGTCAAAGTATTAAAATGAGAACATGTTGTAGTGGATGTAGTTTTTGCAGCAAAGTGGTTTGGGAAACTGACCTTAATGTATGGTGGTTAGACATTTGCCTGGTGCTTGAGCTGCTGGGGCCTGACCTGAGATGCTTGCAGCTCTGCTTTGGGAATCCAGGACTGTTGCAGCCTTGGATCAAACAAATACTTATCCAGGTAAGACAAAGCAGACCAGAAAACCCAGGCACCAGAAATCAAGTTCATACAAGGTGTGTTTAATTTAAACTGCACCTCTGGGATAATTTTTTTAACCAATAGGTTTTTGTACAGTTTCCCATTTGGGGAAATTTGGGGTAATCATTTCTGAACAAACAGTTAGCGACCTTGATCTTAATGATATCTCTAAAAGTTTCAATCTGGTTTTAATCACTACACAGCACTGAGACAACATGTTTAAGGGTTTTTAATGATATTCTTTTAACTCTGGTTTCTGGCAGCCCTACCCTCTTGTTGTTGGACCTGACAGCAGCCTTTGACACGCTGACCATGATATCCTGCTATCACGGCTGGAATCATATGCTGGCCTAAAAGGCTCTGCTCTTCAGTGGTTTCAGTCCTACTTATCTGGAAGGGCTTTTTATGGCAACATGGGCCCTCACAGCTCCAAAATAGCCTCTCGTAATTATGGTGTATCTCAAGGCTCTATTTAGGGTCCTGCCTTGTTTGCACCGTAGTCTTGTTTGCCACTGGGGTCTATTTTCTCATTGTACAACCTTTCATTTCACTGTTTTGCAGATGACTTGCAGATCTATCTGCCTTTAAATGTAGGGACAGACTCACTTTAGCTATTATTACTTTGCCTTGATGACGTTAAACAGTGGATGTCCTTAAATTTTTTTAAAAAGTAAATTAAAACAAAACAGAAGCTGTCATTTTTGGCAACTTCATTAATAAACACATTGACAGTGCTCTGGGCCCATTATCTTCCTATTGTCAGTCAAATGGTTCCTTTAAACTGTGTTGGCAGGTGAGCGCAGTAGTCCAATCCAGCATTTTTTTCATTTGAGACAGCTAGCCAAGGTAAAGCCACACCTTCCAGCTAATGTCTTTGAACGTATTATTCATCTGTTCATTACTTGCAGACTGGACTACTGCAATTCTCTGTACTTTGGTTTGGACCAGGCCTCTGTTTATTGTCACCAGTTGGTCCAAAATGCAGCTGCTTTTCTGCTAACTGGCACAAAACAGAAGGAGCATATCACCCCAATGTTGGCCAACCCTACAGTAGCTTCCTGTTCCTTACAGGATCCAACTTAACGTTTTACTTTTTCTTTTTAAATGACTAAACGGCCGAGCCCCTTCTCACCTGTCTGAGCTCCTATTTATTTATGCTCCAGAAAGAACCACGACGTCCAGGTCAAAACTAACTTTAACTATTCCACGGTCAAAACTTAAATCTCGTGGTGAGAGAGCCTTCTCTATCAGACTTCGTCTTAATATTAGATCTGCACAAACGCGCAAACATTTTAAATCATTACTGAAAACACATTTTTATGGTCTGGCTTTTAACACACGTTGACCTAAACATTTTGGTTTTAACAGCCTTAGTTGTTGTTGTTTTTATTGACTATTACTGATTTTATTTATTGATTGATTTATTTTATTTTTTTCCTCTTCTATATTTTACTGTATCACTGTTGTGCATTTTATTTATTTTAGTGGCATTTTACATTGTTAAGCACTTTACCAACAGTCCATGCTGCACAATGTTAATCTAGGCTAATCAGTCTGGCTATAGCTTAGTAATTTATAATAATAATAAAAAGAATTTTCCCAAAAGTGTTGCTTAAACAAACTTTAATAGAGGAAGATCTCAAATTGTGAAAACACTGACATGGTGGGGGAATCAACGAGAGCTGATTCCCGATTCCTGATGTTTTTTCCTGATAAAATCATCGGTGAGGGAGCAGGAAAGGAAAGGAAACATCGTCAGATCTGTGTATTTTTCTATAGGTCCTGCAGGGGCTGGACTACCTTCACTCTCAATGTAAAATCATCCACACAGACATCAAGCCAGAAAACATCCTTGTGTGTCTGGAAGAGCAGTCCCACAAAGCACCAGCAGGGGGCAGCAGCTCCTCCTCGTTACAGACTGGGAAGGAAGCCAGTTCACCAGGCACGTTTTATTTTGTCCTTCATTGCTACAGATGTTTGAGAGTGTTTAAGAGTTTCAGTAATAAAAAGGTTCAGCGCCAGATATTTTTTATTTCTGATGGGCCGTATAGGCAACCATGCAGCTGTAAATACATAAATAAATATTTGCTTCAGTATTCGTGGTGTTTGTTTTTGTGCTAAGAAAAAAATAATGAAACTAATTCAACATATAATCAAGCAAATACATTAACCATGCCATCCCAGCTATTAGAGCTGGACAAAAACAGCTGTGTACTATTTAATTTAATATAAAACATTTATCTTAGAAATCCAAATTCATAATAATAATAATAATAATGTTTGTTTTGTTTTTTCTCCCAGAAAGCAATCAGGTAAACCCATACAGCTTAAAGGAAATTGCAGTGAAGATTGCTGACTTGGGGAGCTCCTGTTGGGTGGTTAGTATTTACACTTACACACTTATAAAACTTTTGGTTTAAAATATTTTATTAGTGTATTATTAAATTGTATAAAGGGTCAGCCACTTTATGTTTTTGTCATCAGAAGCTTGCAACATTAGCCTGAAAGGTGACAATATTAAATGTCAACATTCTGTTCCAAAATGCTCTCTGCTGCCCCCAAGTGGACAAAACTATAAACAAAGAGGAATAGATCTTTCTGGCTCTCTGACACATGCACACGCACACACACACCAAATCACCTTTAAACCCTTCTGTCTGTCATCACCAGTACAAACATTTCTGTGAGGAGATCCAGACCCGACAGTATCGCTCACTAGAGGTTTTGCTGGGATCTGAGTATGGCCCACCTGCTGACATCTGGAGTGTCGCATGCATGGTGAGAGACAATCCAAACTAATGTGATGTTCACACTTTGAAATATTTAATCCCATAATGTTATGTTTATATACCATTCCATCAAATGGGAATTAAAGTAATTTTGCACAATTCGTAGCTAAAGCTATGCTGCCCTGTAGCTAAATGACCTATAGTGAAACCTTTCTGATAAAAAGCTATCTGTGCATTCTTACTTATTCTGTGTGTCACCTCTAAATGTTCTCCTGAATTCTCTCAGGCCTTTGAGTTGGTCACTGGAGACTCACTGTTTGAGCCCAGAGCCAGTGATTCCATTTCCCTGGAGGAAGGTGTGTTTAGATGGCTGTGTGACGAGCACTGACACGGGATTAAGTGAGATTACACCATGCCTTCATTGTAATTAGGATACTAATGCATTCTGTGCCATGCTTGTATGTGTTTATCCACCTCAGATCATATTGGCCAGATAACGGAGCTGCTTGGCAAAATCCCGGCCGCTGTTGCCTTGTCGGGTAAATACTCTGCTGAGTACTTCAGCTGCAGAGGTCAGCGTCTACCTTCACTTTCAGATGAGGTCTTGTGTTGCTATTGCTGCCAGTGAGCTGCTCGTCTGTTGTAACGGTTTATGGTTTTCATCCAGGCGACCTGCGTCGTGTCGGTCCGCTGAGGTTCTGGAGTCTCTATGAGGTTTTGGTGGAGAAATACCACTTCCTGTTGGAGGAGGCCTCTGGGTTCTCTGACTTCCTACTTTCCATGTTGAATTATCACCCAGAGAAGAGGGCCACTGCTGCACAGTGTCTCCGCCACCCTTGGTTGACTTCCTGTTAGCTTCTTGTTAGGCCTCGGCAGCCCTTATAGACAGATGCTTCAAGTTGCTGCTAGACTTTGTCGATTTCAGGGCATCTTTGTGTTTTCACAGCATCTGATGGGCTTCTTATACAACATTCAAAAAAGAAGAATTTGAACTTCGCTACAAGAGCCCAGCAAAGCACAATGAGCTTTTTCAACTTCCTTGCGATTTTTTTTAAACAACCATGAGAAGCTCAGCTCTGACGCTGCTAATAAGTGTGAAGTTCTCATTCTGCAACCAAGTGTGGATTTATTCTTTAGTAATTTTGAATATGATTTTCTATCTGAGAATGACTCAAACTGTAATCATTTGTTGATCTTTTACAGTGCATGTGCTCGTTTAGTTTAAGTTTTGTACAGTAAAGTGAAGCACTTTAAAGAATAAAGTGACATTAGAAGGAGTGCAAATCCAAGTCAAGCCTTTTTTGTCGTTGATGTTTGTTTTACATAAGCTCAAATCATCTGATTAACCCTAAATTAATTCTGTAGCGACTTGTAAACCAGAAGAATATGGGTTTAGATATAACCCCGCAGAGCCTGATTACAACATCCACACCACTGAGTCAGCCTAGCATCACATTAAGAGACTGAAAAAAATTCCAAAACCAAAACAATCTGAGAACTGTGTGCAAGTGCCAAGAGAACCAGTGCTGTGTATGGTTAATTTAAAAGTCCAAGCTATCTGACAGTTTTGGTCAGATCATTTTGTCTTTCGTATGTAAAAAGTTTACACGTAACTGGTTCTTATACTCAAATCTTCAGCAAGGACAAGAGTAACCTGACAATGATTTTTAAGAAAATAATCTCTCTACAGTATTTCAAAAGAAGCAGGATGTTTCTCTCGCTGAAGAAAAAATAGTTTTATAGAAATGTGAGAGAAAAAAACTACTTCAGCTTCATTGGTTCCTGACCTCAGTAAATACATCTTACTTATTTATTTTGTAAATCATGATGAGCATTTGTGAGCAGAGGAACAATGAAGCAGGATGCGCTTCAAGGCTGGACTTTGCAAAAAAGGGTCTTCCAAAAAGGTCACCATGGCTGCCCCCATCTTTCATATACAGTCTCTGCTATTTTTCTTGGATGGTGACTGTTAATGCACCAGGCGCTGCATTTATTGGGGTTGAGCTTCGTATAAAAAGAACTTTCTGGCACTGCAAACAGCTGTCCATTTCAATAAGTCATTTAGTACAAGTACAGTTCACTACTGACCTTCACATGTGAAACGCTTTGAGTCGATACATGTTCTCAGAGACAGGCGCATTCATTCAGCATTCACCTGGTCATCAGTGACCCATCTAGTGTTATAGTTAGGGCTGGGTTCTGTTTCTGCCACATGTTAAACAGGTGGATTTTCAGGTAGATTTCAAATCTTGTCTTAAAAGCTTGTTTCCTCTTTTGGTGTTCAAAATAGCTGGAAATCCTTTAGAAAGCCAAACCCTATAGTTGACAGTAGATGGGTTACACAGACCTGGGGGATGGTCAAAGGTTAATGCCATCTGTTGCAAAGCTCTGTAGGGTGAAAATTACAGATCAGAGAAAGAGATTGTCATTGAAATACACTCATGTTGAGTGGAATAACTGGAAAAGATCATATCCGACTGTCAAGCTAAACCAGAGTGTTGGATTATCGTCAAGGAGAGCACAGGGAAAAAAGGCACATAAAGCTACACATTCTAACAACTTGACCTTATTCCCCGTAACCAGAGCATCAAATAATAATCTGACTTGTCCTCATGAAAACTAAACACAGTAACATCAGCAAAGTTGCACTGACCAGGACTCTCGTGTTAGGACTGCACAACGTTTTTAGAGTGTATGTTTTTTACATATTTGATGTTTTCATGTGAGTTCTCCTGTAGTGTTTCATCCTATCCAGCTGTAGGCTCGACACTCCACCAGTGGATTTTCTTTATAAATGACCGCGTAACCACACTCTGTCCTGATCCGGCGACACTTCTTGGGCCACGAGGTGGGTTTCATTGGGCTGCAAAGGAGAAGCAGGGAAGAGAGAGGTGCTTTCATGACGCTACAGTCATTTTAATAAATCAGCAGTGTTGTGCAAGTTACTTTAAAAAAGTAATTAGTTATAGTTACTAGTTACTTCTTCAAAAAAGTAACTGAGTTAGTAACTGAGTTACAAGATTCTAAAAGTAATTAATTACTCAAAAAGTAACTATTGCGTTACTTTGAAAAAAACGTTTAACCCTCTGGGGTCCAGGGTATAATTGGCCATTTTTAACTACTTTGATTTTCCCTCCACATTTTACCTTTAAAAACAATTTACTTTGCCTTGTTTAGTATCATTCTTTTCAGCACGACCTCACGTGTCTGAATTTATGTTTTCATTTTGACATACTGTATTAACACGATTTATCTAAAATCAGACAAAAAAAATCCGAGTTTAAAAAGTGATATGTTTTACTGTAAAAACCACAAACATGTTTATTCAATCATATTTTATAACTTTAAATGCAAATATAAATTGTCAATTTTAAAATCCTATCCACAAGTTTTGCAAACAACAAAGTTATTTGCAGTCATTTACCTTTTACCCCTTTTTAAAATAACCATTTCATACTATTTAGATAATAATCAGGTGTTCTGCATTCAATAAGATGCCACACAAATTATTTGTGCCACTCCAAAAAAATAATTTCTGTCCACTACAAAGGAGAACAATATTGACCGAACCAGCAGCAAAAGAAGATCCAAACTACGCTTCACATAAACATAGTCATAAATCCCCTCTGACATTTGCTGTTTTGCTTCTACCACGATAAAATTATGCACAGCTCTCTCTCTCTCTCTCTCTCTCTGTATACTGCAAGAACAGTTTCCCGTCTAAAAATCTGTTTTCTGCATTATTCGCTTGCTTGTTAAGCACAAGTCTACTGTTATTTACAGCGCTGTCGGCTGCTGTTTTTTTTTTCCTTTTACTTACTTCCGAAAAGAAAACCTAATTTCTGCTGTTCAATAGGCTTCTAAACAAATGTAAACTTTTTAAAATTATGCAAAATGCAAAACGCTTAGCTGTGTCTCTAATAAAACCGCTGTAACTTCAGAGATAATGTTCATATGTTGATTAATGGTTTTCTTTCATTTTTGATGTACTGCAGAATATTTTTATAAAATCCCAGAACAGGAAAATCACCTTCATGTTTTTCTGTGTTTTATCTTCAGCTACTTTGACACAAAGGCATCTGCTGTGATTCTCACACCTTTGATAAAGTCTTGCGAGTGTCAGCTTCCTTTTTATAGATACAAAAATATGTAAATGTACTGATCTGAATTATAATATTTCTGACTGTCTGAGGCAAAATTTCCCAGATTCAAATCGAATTGAATTGAATCGAATCGAATCGTGGATCAAAGCGATTCAGGACCTTGTGAATTGGAATCGAATCGATTCTAGAAATCAGTGACGATACCTGGCCCTAGTCCAGATTACTTACATAGACAGCTACTTCCATGCAACTGATATAAGGTGCGGTAAGCTGAAGACAGCTTCAACAGTCTGTTTGTTGAAAAATAGTAACACGACCGCACCGCATTTTCTTGTTAGTAACGGTAACGGCATTGTAACGATAGGAATAGTAATTAGGTAGATTACTTGTTACAGAAAAAAGTAGTTAGTTGTAACGCTGTTATTCCCATCACTGTAAATCAGTGGCCTGAAATGAGCTGAGCTGGAAAAAAAAAAATTCTACTCACGCAAAGCAGTAGAAACCAAACGCGTGACAGAAGCACTTGTCGCAACCTCTCCGGAAAGAATCTCCTGCTTTGTAGTTCTTGTCTTTGGAGGAGCAGATGCCTGCGAAAGAAACGAGAGCCACGCTGTCAGATCTATCTCATCTGACTTTACATTTCTAAGCTCTTCTCTTTAGGTGAGCATGTAGGAAACTGCTGGGTAAAAATGCACTTTTTTTCCCCAGGAAATCGTAACTTTGCAAAGGCTATAAATGTCCGTCCTCTGGGCAGAACACATAAAGCCCCGCTGCAAGGGGTCAGGCACATTAATGGCTAAATCTGGCATCCGCAGTGAGTTTCCTCAGCGTTCCTGCAGGCTGCGGGTAGCTATCCTTATGGGGTTTGTCTGTCACCTTGAGAAGGGGATCAATAAGAACACACTGATGCACTGTGAAGAGCTCCCAGGGGAATGAATGCAAGGTCAGGGTTATAAAGGACAGAGAGTTTGCGGTCAGCCAGTTTGTGTTGGTTTAACAGCCACAGCTTCCATAAATCACAAGTGTTGATTAATGTGGAAAATAGCAGCCTCTGAGCTGGGCAGGGTAATGTGAATACATTATCTTGAGCAGTGGAGGAACAGAAGTGGTTCTTACCTTTTTTGTGGTAGACTGAAGCTTCTGAGCGTCCATCGCTCAACAGAAGGATGAGGGACACGCACAAGGCAAACACCAGCACTGAAGAGTAGCCATTATTTGCCAGATGTGACATTGTGAAATATAACAAGAGAATTACCTGTTTTAAACTGGCGCTTTCACTCGTTTTAATCTCGTGTGACTGTCTGGTGGAGTCCAGTGAAGTCCCTGTGGTGGCCGTGTTGATGCTGGCTAATATTTATAGTCTCACAAGTCCACTGGAGACAGAGAGCGAGAGAGAGAAGAAGAGCATCTTGTGGTCTCCTGGTTTCTTTCCACTGTCCAACTTTTGTTTCAGAGTTTGAGTGTTTAGAGTTTGGCTGTGTAGCCATGCATCCCTAAATATTACCTTTGGCCATCAGCTGCTGCGTTAAGCCTGCTTGGGTGAAAGTACGGGCCGGTGTTTTGACGTGACAGTCGATCAGCTCAGCGGTGGTCCTGAAACATTCCTAACCTGCCTATTTAGCATCTATTTCAATTCACCATTTATTCCTTTCCTCCTGATACACGGAGGTGCTGACTAGTGAAAAACCCCCCTGCTGAGACCATTAAAAAGAAAACAGCTGTTTGTGCTGACGTTGACCCTTGTGTGAAGGGACAAATAATGAGAAAACGGCATTCTGAAACATTTTAAAAAGCGCGTGACAAAAAAAATCACAGACTTAAAAAATCACATTTCCTCTGGGGATCCAAGGTCTGGCCAGTACCATACGATGAGTTTGTAGCCCCAAATTGTTTGTACAGCACATTTTTCCCCTTCTTTTGATTGTTTACATATGCTGCTGTTCACATAGCACGATGTAAAGACTGCGGTATTGCCAGAAATGCATGTCACATATAACTTAAGCTGTCTGATGTC